CATTACTCTTAATTGTTTTGCCATATTTATGTACAAAATTGCATTGGTACTTGTACTTGAATTATTAGAGTCTTTTGGCAATGTCTGTGCACACAAAATGGGTTTATTTAATCAGCCAGTATTCAGACATTTTTTGATATGTGTGTCGTGTCCCAAATTACAGATCCTGATTCGATTTCATGCAGAGAATGACCAGTCAAATTTTCAGGCTTTGATCTTTAATCGCTTTTGGTGTATTCATGTTCAGAAAATACCTCAATATGAAAGAACATGCTGGAAGTGCCTGATGGAGTATTTTGATATATTAGCAATCATTGTATATGTTATAACATTTTTAGGCAAATCAAGTAGAAGCACAACAGTAATTTGACATAGAATTACCCATTTGTTTTATTCCAAGCGTGGTTCAGCTTGCACCAGCGTCCGTCAGTTCATCATCTTCCTTTAAGGCATTTTTTCTTCTGATTGGTTACCTCTAACAAACCAAAAAGGGTTTCATTTAGTAACGTTGCCTATATTTTATATATGACACTGCACAGAATCTGTGTGACAAAATATTGTAAAGAGCATAATAAGTCCACTTTAAAGATTTAAAGAAGCTTTGTCTGAGTCTCAAGTGCTGGGTCACAGGTATACAGATACATGTGTACAAATATGAGTTTTTTCCCCAGAAAAAACATCAGAAAAAAAATTCTGAGTTCTCCCAACAAAATTCAGCACCAGAATTTTGTAGCTATAACATTTCCTGGTAAAAGGTAGAATGGATCCCAGTGAATAGCAGCAAATTCAGCAAGCCAACACATCATACTGTCTGTTCAAAAAAACAAAACAAAAAAAAAACAGCTGAAGATGAAAAGAGGATAACTCCTGCAACAGGATAATAACCCCAAACACATCTAAAATTCTACAATGGAGTGCTTCAAAAGGGCCAAGCCATGGCCATCACAGTCCTCCAGCTGAAACACCATCAAAAAATTCACCTCAGAAGTGTAGTTCATGCAAGACAGCCCTAAAATCTACAGAGCTCGAAGAATTTTGAGGGAAGAATGGGTGGAAAAAAACCCCCACACATGAACTAAAAGCCTCTTAGCTGACTACGAGCTGCATTTACAAGCATATGGTACTTGTCAGACGGGGTGTCACAAAGCACTGGCCATGCACGCTCCCCAAAGTTTTGTTTTTGGCTCTTTTTCTTCATGGTTATGTTTGAAACTGTTAAAAAAAAAAAAGAGAGAGAGAAAAAAGTTTTATTTCAAGTACTGAAGAAATTTCTTATTTAACTTCATGTCTTTTGAAGATAATGTCAGCCTCTTCTTCCTTAGCTATGTTTGATCAGCGCTTTAAAGTTTGTCTCAACTTACCTGCTGCTCTCTGGCAGGTAGCTCCATGCCCTCCTGGGTTTTAAATGCACCTTAGAACACACATGCATCAACACTACAATGAGCGGGTGGAGGGAGGTTTGGAGTCTTCTCTCACCCCCGTTCTCTGCGGCCTGCTGGAGCGGGGGGGCTAGGAGGAGGAGTTGGCCGTCCGACTGCGGTCTGGAGTGTGGGGCCTCCCTGCTGCTGCGGAGTCGGGGCGGTCTGCCTCTCCCCACCGCAGGGAAAAGGGTAACACCACCTGGGTCTGGGTGCAGTTCCCCCCTCCAGGGGCAAGGGTACCTAGACCCGGTTGTAGAGTACGCTTGGGGAGTGTGATCGTGTGTACAGCGTCTCTTTATGTCTGTCTCCACGTTGGTTGAGTGTGGAGTAAGTGCATATGAGAGCATGAGGGTGGGAATGGATGTTTGTATCTGTGTGTGCCTGTATGTCTGTGTCTATATGTCAGGTTGGGTATCAGGCGCCACCTCTCTGGGGACATCTCAGGCCCTCCAAGGTTTGGAGGCCTATCTCCCCCTACCACCACTTCCCCTGCCAGTGGCGGACTCCCTCAGACATCGGTGCGTTGGTGGTTCTTTGTGTCCGGGGATGGGCGTCCAGGTACACACCGGCTCACTCCTTGGCGGCCGCTTATCGGGGCCTGGAGCCTGGGGCTCGCTCGGGCCACTTCGGAGGTGGGGTGCCCCCGGCCTCTCGGCCTGGGGCTCGGTCACTCAGGCGCGCTGGCTGCCGGCGGAGCTCACGGGCGCGTCACTGCAACTCCCCCTGGCTTCTGCTCCGCGGCTGCTGAGTGAGCCCTCATCTGGGACTCTCCTCAGCTCTTTCTGGGACAGTGGCGCGGCTGCCCCTCTGTTGGTCTTCCTTGGTCTCTTGTGTTCTGGGGGCCTCTGGATGTCTGGAGTTTTGATCTCCTCCATACCTGCTTCATGCCCTGGAGGACGGGGCTGTGGCCCCCCCACACCCTCTAGCAGATCATTACATGAAGGAACCTTTTAAAAAAACAAGCGCGTCCATGCTCACAGGTGTACACACGGGTGATCACACCCACAAACTACACCCTTTTTGGCTCCTACCTCAAAGCACACTGTGTTGTGTTGATCTTATGTGCTGCACAATAATGTTTAATATTTAGTATTTACTGTCATATTCCCATATATCATTGTGATGTTGTTTATTCTATTACTCTTGTTCTCTTCTGCTTGTTTTCTTTTTTCTTTCTCAGCAGGTGATCCAGGTGATCGATATATGCATTTTTTTTCTCTGCTACTTCTGTTGGTTTTTGTTTTTGCCCTTCTCCCCCGTCCCTCTTCTCAGCTGTTTCTCTTTCCCTCTTTCTTTCTCCCCTTCTTTCCCCCAGTCAAGTCTGTCCCGTATTCAGCAAGTGAAAATAAAATAAACAATAAAAGGTGAATCAAATGGACCATTACGGCAAGGCTGGGATGGTCAATTTGGTAAAGTAAATCCGTTGGGCATCTTTCTTTGCCTTTAGACAACAATTCTGATGGCAAAAGAGCCAAACGGGACAGGCAAAAAAAAAAAGTTTGTCTCAAAAGTTTAACCATTAACTAAGGGATATCTCCTACATCAGTGAAAGTCAGCTCTTCGCTATCTATAAGACAAAAACTGACTCCCAAACCAGATGTGATGCCACAAATCCTGCCTGGAGGTGTCGAGCTCAGGGGAAACCTTTCAGCAGAGGTGTAAAACTGAATTGTTCCCAGAGGATCAAACATACAAACATTTTTTTTTCCAAGTAAAGTGGGACTTTTAAGAAAAGGCCTAAATACTTACTCCACCTCTGCTGTTATATAATCTTAGTTTGTGTCTGCTGTTTTTCTCAAAAAGTCCAAAATGACGGTTGGCTTATTTTCAACAGCACTTTAATCAGGCACTACTTTGCACCTGAGATGCGATGTAAGAGCAATCACTGGCAATTATCTGCCAGAATAGAAAAGCAGCAGGAGTGAGAGGTGCCAGTTTAATGTGTCAGTTTACTGTTGGCAATCCATTAAATGCTCACCCCATGGCCACCAGCTTGACCACAGTCATACAAATTCTGACAACCCCCCCTAAAAAACACATTTCAGTTGGCTGACAGGGTCCAGTCACAGGTGTGTTCATTTCAATTGTTCAATCAAGCTGCACAGCTGCCCTGACAAGCCGGATAATTGCTCACCCTTTGTCTACCCAGCTTCCCTGGAGTTGTTCTCTTTTGTCAAAAAAAATTAACCAAGGCAATTTTCTGAAGTAGCAACTTTAAAATACTTTGAGTATTTTTGATGCTATTTCTACTCCACCGCATTACAGCTAAACGTATTATACTTTTTATTCTGCTGCATTTGTTGGTAGTTAGTGACTGCTTTTTCTTAGATTTAAATTACTACCCAGTAGAATAAAAAGTATAAAGGTCCGAAGGAGCTGCATTAAAGAAAGTAATGAGAGAGGAACTTTGTATGTGAGGGTGGTGCAGGACATCTAACAGCGAGATAGTGGTGAGGTGTGTGGTAGGAGTGAGGAAAAGGAGAGCCTGGAGAGGTGGAGGTATGCACTGAAGTGATGAGGAAGTAGAAGCAAGACTGATGAATGGCTTGGATGTGGTGCCAGTGCCAAAAAGACGTGTCGGAGCTGAAGATGTTAAATTTTCATTGGGAGTGACCAAGATAGACAGAATTAGAAGTGAGTTTATCAGAGGGACAGGTCAGGTCGAGCGGTTTGAAGGCAAAGTTAGAGGGAGAAAATGTTGAGATGGCTTGGACATGTGCAGGGTAGGGAAAGTTGATATTAGAAAAAGATGCCAGAAAGGAGGAGAAGAGGAAGAGCACAGCAGAGAATCATGGATGTAGGAGGACACGCAGAGGGTTTGTGTGACAGAGGAAGGTGGGATAGGCCCTATCCCATCTTACATCTCCCACCGCTTACATCTCACCCTATCTGATAGGGTGAGATGTAAGCAGACGATCAGCTGATCTCCCTAAAGGGAGCAGCTTAAAGAAGAAGAAAAAGAAACTACCCAGTAGTATAGTGTAATTCGAATGTGTCATCTTTAATGTCAAACTACCAGGAAAATCTTTGGCTCACTCTGAATAACATCTGTATGTTATTTTGTTTAATTATTACAAATATTAATAAATCATCGTGTGCTCTGGGATTTGTGATGGAAGTGGTTGATGGATTGGGGGTTTTTTTTCTCCACTTGGGAACCAAATGAATAATTGATTATTTTTTTTAAAGAAAACAGATTAAGACCGTCGTGCTACTTTTTCTTAAGATTCTCATTATAATTTGTCTTTCACAACTTGGTTTGAACATTTGTTTTATGCATCTTTTTATTGCTATACTGCTTAAAATCAGACGCATTTTTAAATTTGTCATCTAACCCTGCACCTCCCCCTTTTCCTTTTTCATACTTGATGATTTGCAATATTGTATCCTCTTTCACCCTATTTATCCATGCCACACAACTACACCATTTACCTGAGATATTACTAATCATTTCTGCTAAATTATTTGTGCTGTGTGATATTTCTGCTAAATTTGCGCTGTGTGATAACTGGATTCTTTTAATAATTAAAGGGAATCCACAACTTTAGTTTCGCCTCTTTTTGCCAGGTGTAAAGGCAGAAAACACCTACCCCCTTAAAATAAGATAAAACAAACACCGGTGTCACCTTTAACTTAACGTCTCCTTGTATCCCTGAAACAAATAAGGAAGCATATTTGTCTCCGTCCACAGTTGTAGTAATGAGTTGGCTGCTTGCATCACTGTGCGGTGGTGACGTGTGGCGTCTGGGAGCTGTCCCAGGAATCATGGTGCTGAAGCTGCAGCACCAGTTCAGCAGCCAATGATCACAGGAGAATCCGGGGCTACGGATGCTTTCACCCGGAGCAGGACAGTCCGACCATCGCGTTGGATTTAAACGGACGGATTTAAACCCTCCTGCTTGCTTGGAAATTCGATAATTAGGGATGTAAACCTCACTGAGACTTGCCAGCGACCTGCAGTCTGGCTGAAAATCTATGGGGGGAAAAAAAATCCCGAAACTGTGAGTCGTGTAGAAATCGGTGTAGCTCGCCAGGTAAGACAGATTTTTTCGCTTCCCTAACATGGCACGCCATCGATCGACTTAACGTGGTGTGAAAAGCTTACAGGACGTCGACAGCTCCACCGGTTTTAAAGCGTGGCTTTCGTTGTTGTGGCTGGATTTTATTTTTAATTTCTAATTTTAAGATTGAGCGCTGACATTTTGTTCTCTATCTCAGTTCTTTGAACCAAAGGCAGATTTAAATCTTGGTCTCTGCACACGTCGCGAATCCGGAGGGAGAAGCCCGTCGAGATAGTTTATGTTGTAGAGAACAGGCAGACTATTAAGGCCATGAAATGACAGTGGACACTGAGTGAGCGGGCCATAACCTTATTACTTGAATGCATATTCCTATCAGTCTCATATTTGACTTTCCTCTAATAGCCGTTTCATTCATTGAACTTAGGCTAATGGCTTCAGACACTTGTTTGCATAGGAGGGATTATTTTGCATTTTATATCCACACCCTCGTGGGAAGACAATAAAAAGCACCCAACCTAAATAAAGTGGATTTAAAAAGAAAAGAAAAAATCTTAAAAGGCTGCTTTGAAACCAAACAAGCGCTGGAAGACGCACCTCAGCCCCCACTATCCCATCCCACCACATATGAAGAAGTGTTTGCTTATGACGGGGACGCATAGAGTACATACTGTTTTCTTCCAGCACCTTTGGATGGTACTGTGAGTTTCTGGCCGGAGACAGCCTGATGCTGCGCAGACAGGGCATGCTGAAGAGCCGCTGTTGCGTCCTGCTTGGTGACCTGAGGGTGCTCCTGCTCGGGCCACCGGCGCCGCCGACACCGCTTCCTCCGCTGACCCCCATGAGCGGCCAGGCTTCGGAAAGCCATGAAACAAGCGTCACCGTCCCCGAGAACAACAACACGTTAACGCGGAGCCACCAGCACCCCGGGGACCGAACTGCCCAGCCTGCTGCGGGAGCCACCGAGCCACCGGGTGCAGAGCGGCCGGTGGCGGGCTGGGTCGATGCTGCAGAGCTGTCGGCGGCCCTGCGCGGCTGCAGCAGCTCCTCCGATGACTGCTCAAAGGGCAAACTGGAGGAGAGGTTCTCTCTCACAAGCTACACGGAAAGTGGCTTCAGGACGCCTGTGTGCAGGATCTGCTTCCAGGGACCAGAGCATGTAAGTGAAGGAAAAATGTCCTCCTGCATGTTTAAATTAGATTAATGCCATGCAATGTCAGCCTCATCCATCAATTAATAATAACTCACCCACACCTGCTCTCCTGGGGGTTTGTAACACAATGCAATCTGGTGCTGCTGCTCTCGGAGGAGCATAGGTTAACTGTAGCAACAAGTCCTTCCGCCGAGTGGCCGGATCAGGTGTTGGAAATGTTGCACATTTTGCAGACTTTTCATTAGATGAGGATGCACTGCTCAGGTTTTATTTATACAGTGAAGAAGAAAAACACTAGTAGTGTCTTGTTAGGGCAGCCAGCAGTGTTGGTGGTCTACAACTCAGCATGAGTCGCATTACAGTAACTCATCAGTTGCAGTTTGGCTGGTGCAGCACAATTGAGCCTTGTTCTAGCTACAAGATTTTCCTGAAATGTGTTCTTTGGGCTGTTTTTATTGCCAACTTTGTGGTAAAGAGTATAAAAGAGACCTCACATGATTATGCCAATATTTAAGGTTTAATGCTATTAACTATAATTACATGGCACTTAGGTGCTTTTTTGTGTGGAAAATCGAGAATAGTGTAATCTTACTTTCAAAATTATTTAAGGAACAACCCCAATACTGGCAGCTGCAGGGCTAGAGAGCTCTCTGAGCATAGGGCCCCACTGCATCTTGCACTCATCCCATTGCATGGCTTGAAAAGACAGCTAAAGCTAGCAGTGGGAGGATAATGAAAGACCTTGTCCCAGTGGCTGACAAGTGTGGAGGATATGCAGGGATGCCGTAACAACTCATTATAGCCAAACACTGAATTCACATCGAGGCATTATATGCATGGAAAATAAAAAAATAAATAAAAAATACCTCTCAGTCTGCCTCTCACGCACACCACCTGGAAACGGCAACATAATAATAACGTGCACAAAGCAGATGGAAGAGAGCCTTCAAGTTAATCACACCGCTTGCCTCCGCCTTTGGGGCCATATTGATGATAATGTCACAGTACATCAATCAGAAGAGGAAAATGTGAAAAGATGGCCACGAAGAAATAACATTAAATTATATCAGAGAGGCAGACACTTAGCAATTTGCAGGCACATTAGTTACACTGTTTGACAGAGCTTTTGAGAGCACGTTGACAAATATGTCACACCTCGCCTGTTGGTAGTGGAGGTAGAGAGGTTATAAAAAAAAAATCAAGAAGCAAGATAACCGAGGTGTAGAACATCATTTTTTTATCCGACAGTCTGCACTCACAGTTGCTTTTCCTTTAAGCGGAAGATTTACTGCATCATTTCATGGTCATTGCACAGTGTATAGCCTATGATCTTTCTGTATTTCATCAACTAATTACTCCAAGAGCAATTTTGTGCATCATTCCACCTCTGAGCTCAGACTTTGTAATTATTACTGACATGGGGTCTAGTTATGAGATTGGAAGACAAGGCTTCATCCTTGGGTTTTTTTTTCTTTTTTCTCCCCAAACTCCATGGATAGTCAGCACATGCTGCACTGCATACAAAGCACTGCCTTGAAAATTTGCAGTATTTCCCATGGCCTCCTCCAACACATCTCATTAATGCTTCCTTGAGACATTGCAGCAAGTCAATAGCACTTGATTTCATGCTGTCTTATCATTATGCAAGTTTTTATCTTTTGCCAGCTTTCCTTTTCTTGTTGTCTGAGTTGTTGGCTTGGGTGAAGTCCAGATATGGATCTGCTGAGGTGTAAATGGGTACAAGGAGAATGAGGCTCCATTTAAAAAAAGAGGGATGAGTGGACTTTCTGTGTATCGCTCTGTGATACAGGCAGTGGGGACATTAGTTATCCTCTATTCTTCCTTAGCCTTCAGGATGTCACATAGACCAAAGCAGCCAGTATCTGATCTGACAACCCACCTCCAAAACACTTCCACCCCCAAGGCTGAGATAGGCAAGACAGAGTAAAGAAGGGAGTGAAAGACATCGCTTTCCTCAAGCATCCCACTAGAAAAGAGTCTTGAGTGCCTAGGAGAGGCAGCCATTGAAAAATGATTGCACTGTGATTTAATATGACACCAAACAATGTAATAAGTCCATGTAATCGGATACCTGTCAGAGTTATAAGTGCCGTTTTCCTTGAGGTGAGATTCACAACCAGAAGTGCTTCTGGTTTTAAGGATTTCACATTTTCCTTTTAAATTCAGGGAGTTCTATAGGGAATTTCCAAAAATGTGGATTTTAAGAGGTACTGGTGATTGTAATGGTAACTTTTCAGGTATGCCATGAGACAATGCCTTTTAAAAAAAATCTCTCTGATATCACCTCCTCTCTGCAGAAACAAGAAACACTGAACACATAGTCTCGATAGCACAATTTACAGACTGTGGACTGTTTTGTAGAGTTGTTTTTCCTCTCTTGAATTTTATGGCCAGTTTGGTAAGGAAGAACCAAAGAATAACTCTTTCAGCTGACATATAAATTTATATATCAGCCTATTTTATCAGAATTGACTGGAAAATATAATCCACTCTGTAAGACACATACTGCGAACAATATAATGAAAAACGAAGCCAATATCAGATGAAACTGCATGAATTCATGTCTTTCACCTCTGCACCTCAGGTTATTCATCTTTTTCTTCTTCTTTTTTTCTAAACAGCTAACTTGAGACATACATACTGTATTTCAGCCCACTATGGCTTCCTTTTAGCTAAAGGTCACTGAGAAGCTTTACAGAGCGCTCTCGGTAGCTTGCTTTATTCAGGCTCCTGCTTTCAGACTTAATCTCGACCTCGTCACTCAAAGAATGTGCAGTTTTCGGGTCATAGATTTTCCCAGGATACATTCGTGTTATGCACATACTTCAAAAAAGAAGTTTATTGGTTTTTTTAAGTAATGCAAAGGAAAAATTGTGGAATATTTTCCACGTACGAAGGTTACCGAAGTGCTCTTTGAGGCAATCCTCCTACTGTTGTCTTCACGTCAGTTGGATGTTGAAACTGTGCGGGTGCCTGTTGCTTGGGTAGAAATGTGTGTTTGCTTTTTCTCCTGAGCACAGATAATGCACTTGCAGAGTGTGTTGTGTCTGAGGCACAACAAGAAGCCTCCAGGGGTCACGTCAGCATCATTCGTTCTGTATGACCCCACAGTGCTGAAGTTTGCTCTGTTCCATCATATGTTGCTTGCCCGTTCGTTGGAAATGGGATATAAACAAGCTGCCAAAATGCTAGATTTTATTTATTCATTTATTTTTTTGGCATTGCTAAAGTCTGTTTTCAGAGGCTGTAAATTCATGAACATAAATTAGAAACCCTAGTTTCTCTTTTTACTCAATTACCTTTTAAAGAGTTATTAACCGCCACTGTAGGCCCGATGGTTCCCATAAAATCAGCACTCAGTGGAACATCCCTCTGCATATATTTTACGATCAGTCATCATAACTAAATAAACTTAAATATTATTGGTCTTCTGCCTCATTTTTCACTTATTGCTCTTATTTTCCTTGTAATTGGTTTAATATGGTTACATTTATAGATGAAAATTTTTCCCGGCAGTTTTGCAGGTTCTTAAAGAAGAAAAGCCCGTGGACTGATTGTTATTGGGCATCATTGTACAAATCCTCCTTCATTCTGCTTCTGTGCGAGCCAGATTATCATAGCACAGCTTTTCCTTGCTCAGAGTTAATGGAGTTCACTTGCATTGATTCGAGACCCTTAAGAAAATGTGAATAGCCACCTCTAATTTATTTTTATGCCATTATATACATTGCGAGGGAATCCAATTTTCTAAGGAGAAAATGACTTGTTGGGAGGTGTTTTGGGAAAATGCAGCACAGAGATGTGAAATAACACAGCCATATCTTTTTAATATGTTGCTCCATTGTGTTGGGCTTTTTTCACTCATTATTGCTGTTTGATCAACAAAAGGACATTTAGTTATCACTTTCTCCATGCGTGGGCTTTGGTGCCACGTTTGTTATCGGTCTCTCTTGCGCTCCCTCCAGCCTCGGTTGTATTGGAGTGATCTAGGTTTCGGCTCTTGGCTGCCATCAGGCCAGTCACAGTGAGTGGCCCGAGTCCCTCTGGACACGACAGAAGTGTTCTGGTCCTCCTGCCAATACACTCCCACCCTGGCCATCTGTAGATGGGCCTTTTCTCCCCTAACTCCCTGCTTTTTCCTCTCTTCTCTTCAACCAGGGTGCTGCTCCGTCTGTCAGAGGTGTCAGCTAAATAACAACGTGGAGAAATAATTTGGAAACTTGCTGCATTTTTTACTCTGTTCACTGCTTCGTACAATTTTTGCACTCAGGGTAGACATGGAGAGAAAATACTGAATTAAAAATACCTTAGAAATGCAGTGGCTCAGTTCAGAGAGGAAGGGAGGGGTGTTGGGGATTTCTTTCAGCAGACGGCCGGCTAATTTCTTTTTGTTCATTCACTACAGGCTCTTTGTTCATTCTCATTAAGATTAAAATATCTGTACAAGAAGGTCTTGCTATGAATTTTATAGAGCCAAGTTTCTTAAGTGCAGGTCAGAACCTTAAAAAGGTGGCATGCCTACATCTTATGGGTCATCATCAATATCCAATATGACAAGATTAGTAATATATTTTAATGAGCTCAGAGCCTGGGGTGAGAGATTAGAAAACTCATCTGTTCCTCAGGCTAAATACGGCTTAAGAGGAATGTCTAGTGAAGAATATAGCTGAGCACATCTTGGTACAAAATGGGAAAAAAAACCCTGAGAGGTGTCAAATTTAGTGAACTTCATGGTTTCGCTGCATTTTAAGTATTTACGAGCCTTCTATATGACAGAGAGAGGGGAAGAAAAAAAAAAGTAAATGCTCTGGTTTTCTGAAATCTTGTCACATCCAGCTGGATTGAAAACATGATGGAAACGGCTAAAAATAAGGCAGCTTGATCTCTGCTCCCTCACCTGACACCAGTGATGTTTTCATGTGGTTCACACGTCTGACCACCGAGCAGCCGTTCAGGGAGCGAAGGCAGACCTTTACTTCAGCTGCTTTAAGGTGGTAAAGTGAAGGTCATTTTTAAAAAAGGATATAAGAGCCACCTCTTTAAGATATAGTTCAGTGCCACCTAGAGTTTGATAAACCCGCAACACAAACATTTATTCGGCTGTCCGGTCACATTAATCATACAGTATGTGGCTGTCATCGTGCTGACAGAAGGGATTTGAAATGCCCTTTAACAACCTCAGTGACTAACAGTGCCTTCAAAAATGTCACTTTATGATGGACAGGATGTCAAGAAACCATCCTCTGATAACTAGACCAGATACTGGATCTAGCTCTGAACTGCTATGTGAATTGTAGAGAAATGTAGGTCGACCAGAACGAGTATTTTGAGCTTCTTTTGCATTTCTGTAAGTATAAAATAGTTAATGTCTATAGCAGCTCTACTGATGTCAAGAGCTGTGGTTTGTCTGCTCCCTTTGTGCTGTATGCTGCAGCTTTGTTAGGGTTTGCTCTTTCACAGGTGCTTCGGTGACTAATCCTCCACTTTCAGCGGTACTAGTAATCAAGCATTTTGCCTGTCAACTAGGTGTAAGGCAAAGCTTTCATTTCACACCTGATCTGTTGTTCTGCTGTAACAGGCATGCAAAGTGCTCTGCGTGTGTGTGTGTGTGTGTGTGTGTGTGCCTAGCAGTGCACAAGAGCGCTCAGAAAATCAATAAGCCAACACAAAGAAGTGCAAGAAATATAAACACAGTGTAACGCACTTATTATTGTATGTAAAGGGGTTACGTCAAGAGGTAAATAAGATGGAGAGAAAGGGTCCGTCAGCTGGTATTTTTTCTGAATCATAAATCACTTGTTAGAGTGTACTCAACGAAGATAGTATAAGGCCATAAAATGGTCATCTAAACAATGTTAACCAGCCCATTAAATCAAGTTATATTCAAACCAGAGCAGAACATTTATGCATTTACTTTGGCTGAATTATGAGAAGCTCTTGTCATGGTTAGCAGGGACTAACTTATTCTGCCTGTTTCCTGCAGGGGGAGCTCCTGAGCCCATGCCGGTGCAGCGGGTCAGTGCGCTGCACTCACCAGCCCTGCCTCATCAAATGGATCAGTGAGAGAGGCTCCTGGGCCTGTGAACTCTGCTACTACAAATATCAGGTCATTGCCATCAGCACCAAGAACCCCCTACAGGTGAGCTGTGGGTGTTAAGTTCACCAATTCAGAAATATCACTGTGTATTTACAGCTCGGAAATTATGACCAAGTTGTTTGTTTTTTGGTGATAATGGCAGTCTAACTGAACACTGCAAAATCTCAAATCATAGAACCTTTGTTATGTAATTAGGAGCATGACACCACTTATATGGAGTTACTTGTTTTCACGTCATATTTTGTTTGTTTTGTTTTGTTTTTTATTAAGAAAACACGCATTAACCACAGCTCCAGCTGGTCTCTGATGACCAGCCAGTATATTTCTAGTACCAGTCCCAAGGCTAGATAAAGGGTTGGGGAGGGTTGCATCAGGAAGGGCATCTTTGCCAAATCAGACATGCAGCTCATCAATAAGATTGGTTGAGATCCAGGTTAACGACCGCCACCGGTGCTGTTGAACAGCAGGGTGCGGGTGGAAACTGTGCCATTGTTGCAGGAGGTTGGGGAGGGAGAAATGAGGAAGGAAGGCAGTCATGTTCAGAGGATGTTTGGGGTGGACAAAGGATGTTAAATATGGAGCTGCCAAGCAGGAGGAAAAGAGGGAGGACATGCAGGGGGGGACTGGTGTGACAGAAGAAGATGCTAGGGATAGGGTGTGATGGAGACAGATGATCCGCTGTGGCTACCTCTAAAGAGAGCAACCCAAAGAAGGAGAATCTAAACTGAGAAATTCAGGGTGGAAAAAAAGGAAAGCATCTGAATTAAACAGGCCTTTCCCCTCTGATGTTTAGAACAGAAGGATTGCAGAAGCAGTTTCTTTTTCTGTGATTTGATGGGGTTATGAGAGGCCACAGATTTCTGTTTTCGAGGGTGAGAGCGATGTGTGACTTCGTCTTTTTGTTGAGTTCAGCCTGATTAACTTATAATCTGAATGTTTACATTAATTGGTTTATGATTAGCTTCTCAATTTTCTCCTAAGCTCTACCGCTAATCCTTCTACTTCTTCTGCTTCTTGCAGTGGCAGGCTATCTCTCTGACAGTGATAGAGAAGGTGCAGATAGCAGCAGCTATCTTGGGCTCCCTCTTCCTGATGGCCAGCATCTCTTGGCTGGTGTGGTCGTCTTTTAGCCCGTCAGCCCGCTGGCAGCGTCAAGATCTGCTTTTCCAGATCTGCTACGGCATGTACGGCTTCATGGATGTCGTCTGCATCGGTGAGGCGCTAAGCAGTTGCGATTTATCACTTTTCAAACTGAATGTAATATTTCTACGTCTTCTTTGAATGGGTTTGAGCATTTTACTACTGAAAATTATATTGAGTGTTTTTCACTCTGGTCACATTAATTCATGAGCATTCAACAGGCAAAAGTAAATGTCAAAAGTGCTCAGGAGAGTGGGTAATTATACCTAACAGCTGCCTACAAATAACTGTAAATGCCACGGGCAGTTTCAGTGCAATTAATCCATACCACAAAGTCAGCTGCTTCATATCAATATTTGATTGCATTGTTTGGTCAATCTCTACGATTATTTGTTGTTGTCTTTATCGCTGTTTCTATATTCACAAGGCTGAGATGCTGCACCAAAGCTCACATCATAAATTAAACATGAACGCTGAATGTTCAAAATTCAGCTAAAGTGGCTTTCACTGCATACATTAAAATGCATTTCAGTCTATAATAAAAAGCTACGGAGCCAAATTCAGCCAAACGTTAAAGACCATTATGTGCTGTCATAACACAAGAGGGATTTTGTTCTTCTTTTATATATATATATATATATATATAAGATAGGCGCACCAAAGGATTTCTAACAGTTCCCTGCATTTGTGCGTGGGCGTCCAGATTGAAATGTATAGCATTTAAGCCTGCTGTCCTCCTGTGGCGCTCAGAGGCCCACATGTTTTGGACAACTGTGTGATGGCATCTCGCATTAAGGAGACTCTAAGTGCCACTGCAGTAGACAGCAGGGTGTAAGGAAGAGGTGATTGATTGTCTCCGGTTTGGTGCTGTGGAGGATTGACTGTGGAGTCATTAACGGTGCACTTTACAGAGATTAACTTGTCACCTGGTGGATGTTAAAGAGCAAAGACCTGACTTTCACTTATCCACAAAGTTAGAGAGGGAGAGGATTTTATAAGTAAACTCCAGCTGCTGCAACTGTAGTCATTGGCTTGTTAAACAGCAATATTACATTACTGCTGTAATAAAGTAGTTGGCGAGCAACTAGCAGACTCCTTGAAGATCAATATGTAGTGGTAACACTTAATAATCTCCTACTTTCTCCTTTTTATAAGCAGCATTTAAGCAAGTAATGCCATTAAAATGCATTTAATGTCGTTACAAGGAGATTTAAAAGCATTCAAGTGTTTGAGTGCACAGTATTTTTAATTATTACAATACCTCCTATTTAGATATATTTTATTTAAAATATGTATTCTTTTGTTACTAGAATTAGTTATATAAAATCATCATGTTTAAGTTGTTAACAAATACCTTGAACACTAAAAAAGGACTTTGCATGTAATGTTCCATGATGCAAACTATATTGTAGTGTTAAAAAAACATGGTTATAAGTGCTAAATGTGGACTGATCCATACATGATGAATTTCCCTTTACATGCCTTTAAAATGGAAAACATGCAGTAAAATATTGGGGTCCAAACAACTTTGCTACAGATGGATTTCAATTTTCCAGATGCTGAGTTCAGTGAACATGAATCAATAAGCAATTTTGAACTGAGATAAGCTGCTATCGAACGAGGCTGCAGAACGGATGCATTATTTTTTTTTAACCTAAATCCAAATCCAGTCCCTGCTTTTTCTAAGAAATAAAGATTTGATGTCTGGTTTGTGGCGCAGTACTTTAAAGATGAGTTGTTTTGTTCTGTTACTGCCAAAGCTAATACTTTCTTCACGCTTTACCACAGTGTGTCTACCAGTGTTCTGGGATGTAGTGTATCTCAAGACTGCAGCCCGACTGTGACATTGTCTAACTGGTGCTCTGATCTCCACAGCACTAATTGTCCACGAGGGACCTTCTGTGTTTCGCATCTTCCACCGCTGGCAGGCCGTGAACCAGCAGTGGAAGGTTCTGAACTATGATAAATCGATGGACAGCGACGACCTGAAGGACACTACTGTAGACAGGACTCTATCTCAGCCCACCCAGGGCTACCAGACTGGGATAGGAGTATCCACCTCCACCTCCTCGCTGATGGTGGTGGCCTCCACTGCCGCCGGCTCCACCTCCACGACCGTGGTGACGGCCGCCGGAGGAGTGGGAACACACGTGGACCCCAACAGCGGCAGCGCAGTGCCAGACCAACACTGTCCATACAACATCCTCCACCTGCTCAGCCACCTGAGGCAGCCGGAGGCCCGCAGCCAACCCAGCAATAGCACAAGAGAGCTGGTCATGAGGGTTACTACAGTTTGAAGAGTCAGTTGAGGCCTTATCTCACACGAGGGGGAGAGATTTTTGAACCAGCTGACAGCTGAAGAAAAGATCCTGTCTTAACTGCACTGGATTAATATCAACACAATCTTGTTTGTTTGAAACTGCATCTCTGATGTCCTTACATTGATTGAATAAAAGTCAAAGTTGTTTGATTTGCAGAATCGGTTGGAAAATGGTTATTTTGACAGATACGTTCAAAAATATGTGCTTGAATTGTTAATCTGTAGGGAAACCACGTACTGTGGTTTTTATACTTTTTTCTTAACAGCAGCTATAATTTCTTATTGGCAACCTGTCAAGCATCTCCAAAACGGCAGCAACCAAAAGAAAAAGAAGGTTAACGGGTAGTGTGTTCACAGTGGGTGGGTTTTTTGAGTATGCTGTACACTCTGCAATCATCTTCCACATGTAGGTCTGTATTGCTCATGAGTCAAAATAGGACACCAATCTACCTTGTGATGAGGTGGTTGCCCAGTGAATGCCATTCACATTCAGTGACCTATTGCAACCAGTTGTGGAAACCAGAGGTTAAGCATGCAACACCCTCAAACTCTGTGCACAGTTGTCCACCAGGCTAAATGTGGGTGATTGCACAGGTTTCCTGGTGGACACTTGTGGCAACTTGTCTCCAAACAATTGCAGTTCAGCTCGGACCAACTGCATTTGCAATTATCTGACTATTTGTAGAGGAATTTCTTAGTTTCAGATCTGTGAGATTCTAGCAGGGCTCTGAATATAAGTAGTTAATCTGATTTTCTTTGTAGACAACAACAGATTTGTAATTTTACTTTTTTGTTGTTTTGAGTGTGATTTTTTCCTTTACTAGATAGTACAGTGAAGCAAGGAGCAAGAGTAGAGGAAGACGTGCAGCAAAGGACCTCAGGATAGCCTTGCAGGACATGGTCACTTGCTCAATCTGTAAATTAAACCAACACCACATTTTATGATTTTCACTGATTCGTCACAGTTAGTTGCTGTATTATCACAAAGAGTATGCATGTAATTACCAACCTTTGCATACTGACTCTGTCTTCTTGCCATTTCATCACTTTTTTTTCACTGTCTGGTTGCTCCAAAGAGGCAACTGTCTGTGAGCAGCCACAGACCTGGTCCTCATCTTTGAAGCAAGCTTTTCAAAGGCTCCTACACTGGTTTCCCTACTGTGACTGCAGATTGAATTTAGATTTTATTTAACCAAAGAAAATATTTTGAATGTTCAGATCTGCATCCAAATCTTAAAGTACTCAAATTCAGATATGGAGTAGTTCAAAAGGAATCGGTACATCACTCCATGGTGTCCTTTTCTTCCATACATCACACTAAGATCACATTTAACCAATGAAGAAAAGCAAAAGTTTTGATCTATAGTCTGTTTAGGAACAACACATAGACTGAGACTTCATAACATGCCGCGCAGCAGCTTAGTCAGTGTTTTAAGAATATCATATGTATTCTGCGTGATCTGCAACAGTCATAAAAGTGAGGGAATCACATTTCTAAATCTCATATGCAGGTCTAACCTACTTATGTCATAAACCATCATGTTTGTAACACTACAGAGAGATGCTAGTGTTGAATTTAGACTTCTTCGTCCATGTTGTGTGATCAGAGAGAATATTACAGTAATATTACAGTAGGTGCGATGTGCACATCGCTATGTGGCCTGATGTAAATCACAGGCAAGATATAGTGCAGTAAACAAGTTGCCTAAATCCATTTGTAAACATTTTTTCAGGGTTTTTCCCCCCACTACATCAAAGAAGGCTTGATGGATTTTGGGGCTTTTTTTTTAAGAAAACAAAAACAGCTTTTTTTTCTTAGTAATGTCTTTGATGGGCATTTCGTCTGTCACTTTCAATGTGATTTTTGTTGATTGCAGGAAGGGTATTTTTTGCAGCATAGTTTGCCAGGATGGATAAAATGGGGGCATGTGGCTGAACAATAGAAGAAATCTCTTTTAAAGGAAGTCACCAGCTAGTTTGTTTAATTGCTTCAGCCAGTGTCTGTATTCACAGAAACGCGTTTCTGCTACAAAGCAGTGGTGTCACTTACAGTCCATTAGGCCCACATTCAGGCTCACATTCGGCTCACAAAGCCGGTAATTTCCTCCGTCTCCCGGCTCTCGGATTCTGATGTGCTCTTTGATATTTCTTTCCAGGTCTTGTTTCATGTCCATGAAAGATCAGTTTTTATCTCAGGGGGCAATGCTAAATCATGTTGTAGGAGGGGAGAAACACTGTTAAAAACATCTTCATAGCAGGGGGTGATGGAGGTTGGGAAGGGAACATCCCCCCCCCCACAAGAAAAGACACAAGACCACGAGATACTACACAGTGAAGACGCTGTGCTTTATTGCACAATTTCTGATTTGGATGAAAACAACAATTTTTAAAAAATGGATGCTAATTTTATCCATTAGAAGCAAAACCCGAAAGCAGATCATAGTGTGAAGCATTTCTCAGGAGCTCTGCCTCTGGTGCCTTTCAGCATTTTCCAACATGATTTACATTAAATCACGCCATTAGCTTTAAAGCGCATCAAATAGAAAAGATATTTAAATGATGCTGGTGCTTAATGTCAAGCACTCTGTTCTTGCAAGTCTTTGCAGGGAATCAGTGCCATAATTTAAACCTGCCATATCAATATATATCCCTGTTTGCTTTGATATTTGCATCTTCACAAACTCAACTTTCTGCTTCCTCTTTAGCCTTTCGTATTTTATCAATTAACCTCCACTGTGCTGGATCTGCTGTTTCACCATCCCCTCCTCGTAATTAAATACAGGAGTACAGTATATGCAGAGAATCAGGTAGCGTCGTGATTTTCTGCTGAATTATTTAAGCCGTGAAGCGCTGATATCAATGGGTGGGAGCGGCTGTATAGAAACCACTTGCAAGGAGCTGGGAGGTTGCACAGAGTTCACCGTGATTCTGCTCGTCTCCGTTCTCTTCACACCTTGTCTCTTTGAATTCACAGATGCGCAGACCTAGCTTTGATATGACACAAGGGAAAAAAAACAACCAGATGCATAGGATTTTAAAAAAATATTCTTTAGATATAAAATGATGCTTCATATTTAAATTCATTTCATATATTTGCTTCGGGGTCATCTCACTTACTTTTAATGGATTGTTTACAGTATAAATATCTCTGCTCTTAAGTGCATCTCCTTAAACATGCAAAACACTTGCGAGGTTGCTTCAAGCCCCTTTTCCATTATGGTTCTCGGGTTTCAATAGTCCCTGTATACCCTGCACACTGCTTTCCCAGTACACATAATTGCATTTTGCTATTTGTATGCTACAAATGAGTCCAAACTGAAACTAAGGCTGAACTGCTGAAATCGTGAAAAACTCAATTATGCTGCATCTATCAGATTTTCAATCCAATTTGAAAGCCCCCAGTACTTGTGCTATTTGAGGAGACTTGAAGGTGCGAAATATCAGCAGGGCTGCCGTTCTTCTGGTTGGTGATGATGTTCATTTCCAGAACACTGACCCAGAACTATTTTTGCAGACTGTAAGTGTTTAAAAACATATTCTGGTGCACTTGCAAAGGTTCGGCGTCCTATGAACCTTTTGAAACTGAATAAATTGCATACAGCTAATGTGCTATTCATGCGAGTTGTCTGAAGTCTGAATCACTCGGGAAGAAAGCCCTGCATTCACTGCAACTTCTTCTGATCCTGAAAATGAAAAGAAGCATTTTGAATAGCTGGGTTTTTCTTTTTGTCAGGTGAGATGAAATGATGGGTATTATTGGGAAGCCCTAGAAGCAGCAGCGGTCAGCAACAAATTGCAGGAGAGCAGCTTTCACAGTTCTAGACACATTCTTCTTGTTTTTCAATGCAATGATACGCTTTACACCTGTCCTCCGTCGACTTATTCGTGTTCAGATTTAGAGGCTGGTGGAGGCTGATAAGGCATTCGCTGAGAGATTTTCAGAAAAAAAACTCAGACATATAGTCAATTTATAGTTATAGTTCAGAGCACACTTGCACACAAAGGAAGAAACTCCAAACAGGAAACCAAGAGCTGAGAGTCACACCGAGGATAGTTACTGTGAAATGTCAGAAATACTACTCCAGGGCCATGCACTTTAACTATGTTAAAAAACACACACACATAAAAAGATTATTGCTTTATCTTCAATCTTCCATTATGTTTAAATAGACTTTTACAAGAGTGGAACCAATTGAAAAGATGAAAGCCGTTCTGTACTTTACTTGTCAGAAATCATCATCTTGCAATAGGAAAGATTAGCAGTGACATGCGTTCCCCTCTCGGCGGCTAATGGGCAGACTGCTTCTGACGACTTGTAGAGCCTTTTACTGAACATCCAGTGTGATGTTTTTACCAAAGTGGCAAAATATGATTTATGGACAGAGATTTGAACCTTCAGCATTGACGTGTGTGACGCAATCAGCGCTGTCGGCTGTAACACATGTTGTGATCACGCTACACAGTTTCTGAACTCACTAGTGCTGATGACTCAGGATGTAATCCCTTCCACAGAACAACTGCTTTCTCCTTATAGAATCTCACTAGACTTTAAGAGTTAAATGACATATCCATAGCTTTAATATAGTAGACTTTGCAGTCTCTGAATGGCATTGCTGGGATTTTTAAAATATTAAAGGCATAATTTATTCAAGCTCAACACTTAACCACAAGAAGTTTGATAACTTGAAGCTTAAATGAAGTTAAAAAGCACAAATACAGCACACATAATATCCACACCAAAAACCACTGTTGTCTTTTAAGTTAAAAGAAAAGACACTTCACCCGTTGCCTACTGGTGGTGGTCAGAGGGCCCGGTGGCGCCAGTGTCCGGCAGCCTCGCCTCTGTCAGTGCGCCCCAGGGTGGCTGTGGCTACAATGTAGCTTGCCATCACCAGTGTGTGAATGTGTGTGTGAATGGGTGGATGACTGGATATGTAAAGCGCTTTGGGGTCCTTAGGGACTAGTAAAGCGCTATATAAATACAGGCCATTTACCATTTTAATCATGTCCTTCAATTAAAGTGTTTCCGAGGTTTTAACTTTCTGAAAATGATTTGATGGTCAAGGAGGACATTTAAAAGAAGTCTTTGGAAATGCAGCTAACAGGGAGAGGTACACAGGTAAGATGGAAATTTACACTCACCAGACATTAGGTGCACCTTGCTGGTACTGGGATGAAGCCCTTTCGTTTTCATAACTGTCTTAATTCTTTGTGGCATACAGCCACATGGCCTATATTGACAGATTTGTCTGGTGCTCTTGGTCAGCAACAATACTCTGGTAGGCTGTGCTAAGGAGTCCAAAGTGTGCCAAGAAAACATCTCCTACACCATTACACCACCTGTCTGAACAGCTGATACAAGGCAGGATGGATTCATTCTTTTATGTTGTTTTATGACAAATTCTGACCGTACCAACAGAATGTTGCAGCAGAAATCAAAACTCATCGGACCAGGTAACGTTTTTAAAGTCTTCTATGCTTTGGTTCTAAAAAGTGGTTGTTTGATTTACCGTTTCCTTCCTATCAGCTTGAAACAATCTGGCCAGTCTCCTCGACCTCTGGCATTAACACGGCATTTTCACTCAGAGAACTGCTGCTCACTGGATATTTTCTCTTTTTTTGAACCATTCCCTGTAAACCCTGGAGATGGTTGCGTGGAAATATTCCAATAGATCAGCAGTTTCTGAAATACTCAGAGCAGCCAACACCAGCCAGCACCGATAACCATGTCATTAAATCACCTTTGTTTGAACTTTGTTTGAACAGGCCGTCTTGCCTATGTCTACATATCTACATGTATTTTAACTGTAGGATATATACTCTGTCCATGCTGATAAATCCCACAAATGGTGTCATTGTGTTTAGCTTCAAGGATGATCGTGCGCTGTTACATCCTCAGAAAACCATGAAACCATGAAAATACGTGAATATATCTGCATGCCATAGCATTGGTCATATTGCTGATGTTAGCAGGGTGGTGATGGGAAGGCTACAACCACACCCTCCTAATCTGTGAGTCAACCGGCAGGACCAGGTCTCCAAGGTCACGACCAATGAGATTGTGAGCAATATTTCACATTATTACTTTATTTAGTATTTCAAAATACCACACCAGTGGATGGATCACAAAGCCTGATTATGTCATGAACTGAAAATGCAAAATATCTTTTTTTTCTGAAAAAAAGTAAAGCCATCCTGACTGGTATTTATTGGTATCAATTAAGTATACATAAAATTTAGTGGAAAAACAGTGCAGTGTTCATAGGTACACAATATGTTTAATTTGGCTGTAATGCTTAATTTCTTAGTCTGTGTTTAGTCTCTAATGCCTGTTTCCCTTCTCATAATGTTCAGCTGTTCTTCTATAAACATTCATCTAGATGCAGCAGTGGTTTAAAAAAAAATGTTGCCCAGGAGAAAGACTCTCAGATTGCCTGCCTCTCTCTTAATCGCTCACTTGCTCACTCAGCATCCCTTTGGAAATGCACCCCCACCCTCACACACACACAGCTGCTTTAAAAACAGCAGCAGCACTTCTGCACGGTGGGTCAATGCTAGTATCCCTGCACTTCTCTAATTGAGTCCCTGATGAGAGATTTCCTGAGCTTGCTGTCTTTGAACGTCGATAGCCGTCCACTGAAGCATCCCCGCTTGTAGTCACAGTGTCAGTCTACAGCGTGCAACCTGATTAAAAGACATTTCCAAAACTAGGACGCATCATGCCTCTAAATGTCTGGTCTCAAAGTGCAGTATTCCCAGTTTTCCCATTTTTAACAGTGCTGCTTGGTGACGGATGAACTGGGAAAGATGAGAGCCTTCTCAGAAAATTTCAGTGAGCCTTTTTCATGCCATGTCAAGATCTTCTTTTAGTTTTGTTCTTACACAAAGGAGTTAGCCTTTTTAGCCACAATAGATATCCAAGACCTTCCAATTTGAGTAGCATCACCCAAGGTCATGTATATGATGAAGGAACCAATTTAGATCGTATAACAATCTGTATAATATCTTATAAAGTGTTCTTATATAAAATATTCTTACATAAAGACATGCATTTAGTAGGGTTAAGTTAACTGGTAATTCTAAACTGCACATAGGTGTGAACGGGAGTGCGAATGGTGTCCTGTCTCTATGTGTTAGCCCTGTGACAGGCTGGTGATCTGTTCAAGGTGTAGATATGGTAGCTGGGCTCCAGTCCGATGGATAATCTCAGTAACAAGCTCTTTTTCCATATCAGCTCCAGCCTCTCAGTATGGAGTTGTAACTGATTAATCTTAATGGTGGGAGTCCTTGGTCAAGCGCAGTGCGGTTATACACTCCAGGGTCTGTAAGTGTCTCTCATAACATTTTTGCCATAGCACATCTACACTTGCATTTACACACTTAAGTTAAATGAAGCATAGAGTTTCAATCATCAGGACCCACTGAGTGACCTCCTCACAGCAACTACAGAGAAGACATGTTCCTGCCCTTCATTCATTATATTATGAATAAAATCAGGGAAGCATGAAAAGGCAGGCAGGTCATCTGTAATAATCTACCCACAGTGTATGACAGGAGAAATGTCCTTCAAGAGATAATGAACGATTTATGTCTCATAACAATGAGACCTAAACGCAGCAGAAGCTCCGGTGCCAGATTCAAGACTTACAGTTTGAGCCTTCAGTGAGCATTTTAACAAATATTCAATTTTAGTGGGAGTGAAACAAATACTCTTTAATATATCAAGAAATCTCTGTACGTGTCTGTGTGTGTTACACCCATCTTTAGAAGGGGTCTATTGCTGCAGTGTCAGCTGTTAAGGTCATTGTTATCAGAAGGGGTCTCACGTCTTGGTTTGGGGGTTTAATGCATGTTGTAAAGCATTACATGGCTGTCTGAAAAGATAGTCATGCTAAAAAAGTACATCCAAAGTTGGGTACATCCAAAATCTTAGCATTGAGCTAATAAGTAGCCCAGTGCAGTTTTGTAGAATACAAGTGCAGGACACTATACCACAAGGTCACTGGACAGTAAGCAGTGCAGGTAAGATTTAAGTGTTTTGAATTGAGTTACTACTAAAACAGCAACATAAAACAGAGGAACTTGAATATCTAAACCATTTATGCACCGAAGGGTCGGGTCGGTGTCACGTACCAATTCATTTATCTTTGTGGTCTTCAGCGTCTGATTATTCACTGAGCATTCATCCCTGTATGCTGACTCATCTCCTCCTGTGATGAACGCAACAACAGTCAACAAATTTAATTACGGTGTTGGATGGGTGGACTAGTATGCAGCTGTAAGCACAGACGGAGTGGAGGACTGGAATCAGCACACAGTCTTGAGCTGTACCAGCGTTTAGTGTAATGGAGGAAGAGAGGTGAGGGGCCTATTTTGACTCTCTGTGGGCGGTCAGTGAGGAAGTCTTTGATCCAGGTGCAGATGAAGATGAGGAGGCCAAAGTCTCGTAGCAAGCTGATTAGGATATCAGGCGTGGTATTGAATACAGAGCTAAGGTCTCATAGCTACCTATAGTAGTAGTAAAGTTTGTGAGAGTGCACGCATATGGTTGAATGTGTGCGTGTGTCCCCAGCACATGTGTGCCAAGTTGCAGCGTATGTTTTTTCAAGCTTCTATTAATTTTTTTATTTACTGAGGATTTAAAAATTTAGAGATGCTAGTTTGGTCACAGCAGCAGCTCAGGTGCCGAGCTGTGCCTCTGTGTGAATTGAAATGTTTGATTCTGGAAGTATTTAGAATTTATTTATTTTAATTCTGTAATTTTTGATCACATGGAGTGGCCAAAAGCATGGTGCCACTTAGACGATGAGGTCTGTGCCCGGAGGATATTTACTTGTTGTGAGTTTAAACTTTAAAGACTGGAGTTTAAATTGCCGTTAAGGAGCGTTAATGTGGACTATTTGTGGAATTGTATTGTTTGGATCAGCCGTTTATTGTCAGCTTTGGTTTGGTCTTTTTGTCTGGAATGTTTTTCTTGGGCTATGAAGACAGGTTAGTGCAAACATTTTCATTAATGGTGTGCTAAGAGTGCAGCACTGGGATCAGCACTTTCCAAAGACCTGAAGGCTCAACCTGATGGCTGGATAGCTGCCTTAGCAAATAATTTGCTGTCCAGTGGGAAACGTTTCCCACATCTTACTGCTGATGGCGTCGAGGTCTAATGCCTGGTAGACCCTGCTACATGAACCCACTTGAGGGGTGAGGGGGATGGGGATGGAGACGCAACTCACCAAACCAGCACAAAGAGTGCTGCTACTGCTAGGCAACCCCATTACCATCTCCAGTTTATTGCATTTCTGTAACCATCCAGCTGAGGTCACAGCTGTTTAAGGGACTTGTTATTATATAAAAGACAGCTGAAATCAGTGAGTCTGTTGCTTCTGTGTTTTAGACACACACTATTAGACACACAAATGCACTTTGCTCACTGTAAAAGGTTTGCTGTCTGTACCTAAAATCTGTATGATTCCTACAATGAGCAACTATTGTCCCCTGTATGTGCTGAAGAGAGAAAGAGAGGATTTTTGCATTCAGGAGACATTTGAGAGGTAACTTTGTGGCTGTGTTGTGTCAAACAGCATATTGCAGCCAAAAAGTGTTTGCATACACTGTCTTGCTACAAAAAGTTAATGAACTGTAAGTTCATTGTGTATTGTGCTGCGTTTAAACTGAGCACAAAGTGAAACCGAAAGAAAAGATAATGGAATTTCCCCAGAATCTTGCCAGCTCTTTTGTCTTCTCAGAAGACCTCAGCGTTTCTTCATCTACACTGAAAGTTTTCATCTCTTAAAGAGTCCCAAAACTTGTACGGGAAAGGTGCCACGTTGGATTCAAAGCTCTGTGTTCTGTGTTTACTCTGTTGCCCTAAAGAGCTCTAAAGAGATTTTAGTCAGGTTTTAAGTCGTCCACTCCGAATCATAACTCAAAACACTCACATAACTCAACAGCCACCTGTGGCCTAAGTAACACAGATAATCTAAAACAGAGAGAAAGCTCACAGAGAAACGGTGCTGTGATAGGCAGTACCTTCACTTCCATAGTTCACACGGACTTCCCCTTCATGCTCTGTAACATTTTTTTCTTTACCTTCACTTTCACAGAGAAGCTGCTTTTCGTTTTAATCGTTTAATTTTCACGAACAGCAAAGATTTACTGCGATGGAAACCTAAAGACTTCATCTTATACCGCTGAGGGTAAGACGAATCAATTCTGCATGATGTTTGTTTATAGGATCTGATACAGAAGGTGTTCACAGCATCGATGCAGTTATTAAATTGTTGCTAATGCAGCTGCAGACATTAGTGAAGAAAAGAGGTTTTTAGAGAAGTAAATGAAGCAGCGGTTTGTAACAAGAAACAATACTTACTTGTATCTAAATCCAGCCAGTTACTCAAAAACTTTGAAGTTACAATCGTTACAGTTGACTAAAGGAAAGTTAGACAAAGGCTGAAGCAGCTTCAAAGCAGGCAAGGCCCAAAGCTGCCCTCACGTTTGATCATTTGTCTCCACAAACTCGATATTATTTAACAATCCAGAAAAAATCAGAATAATATATGACAGTTTTTACTGTTTTAATGATCTTTATTGATAATTCAGTGAAAAAATTGTCACACATTTTTCATTGGAGTGGTACTGTGTGAAATTCTTTGGTGATTAGGACTTAGGCTGATATGTAGGCACGGCAGCCATCTATAATTTCTATATGAACTCTGCATAATATACAAAACAAACACTAGGGCCATGTTCCAGAGGGCACGTTTAACAAACTCTAACTTTAAATTCTGAACTGATTATAAATTAACTACATTTTGACTTTCTCAAGAAAAAGTTCCTTTTAAATGTTGTTATATCTTTACAATAGCATGGAGCTTGTGAGGGAAATACATATTTTCAAGCCTTGATCTACATTTAAAAAATGTTAACATTTTATTTTATTTCCTCGTGTGCTCTAACGTTTGTGCCACATCTGCCCTAAATTAACACTAATGATAATTATTTTAATTTTCTCTCATGGTTACTACATCAGTATGTACAACCTCTTTAAGCAAAAGTCACATTTTAATGCTGAAATCCACATATTGTTGTTTTCCATGAATTTTCAAGTATACTGTTTTACGTTAGAATCCAAATTATAGTTGTTTACTTACAGAATAGCTGGTTTTAGTGGTTGGATAATATTTATGAATGATATCAGTGAAGTAAAGCGTGCCAGCTCAAATGTGGGTGTAAAATCATGAATTTAGTTTGTTATTTGTTTGATAATAAAGAATATAAGTTTTAGTTTTAGTTTTTTTTTTTGACAGATCTCTAAAATATCTCTGTTCTAATATATTTGTTAAGCACTGTAAGCAAACCACCAGGTTATTCCTTTAAATACTTTTTTCTTTCATTATAAAAAAAAAAACAATTAAAAAAACAATCAAACAAAAAGCAAGTCAATTTTTTACCCTGGATCATAAACATTTAACTTCTTATCCACAGGAACCAGGTTTCCTGCTGCTCACTTACATTTTTTTTTCAGATGTTCTCCTGCTGTTTTAGATCATACAGCTCATCTCCTTACAAATCTCAGTGAGACGGTCTTCAGTTCAGGAAAGTCTTCATTCTGCCGTATAAAATGACTTCAGGAGGAAATTCTTTGACAGCTGCAGTGTTGCTGGTAAAATATTTATCATACAAACTTACAAGAAGCTTTTTAAAGAAAAATAAAACTATTGTTTTTCCTTCTATGTAACTATTTTGTAACCCCGTCAACATTTTCTGACTCACATCTACATCACTGTGTGAATTACATGCTATAATTTCCTCCTGTACTGTCTATTTTTCATTTAAATTGATGCTGTCATCACTATCTTCCTTCTTCACTCATCAGCTCTCATTTTCAGGTTGTTGCACATTTCATTTCATATCTTTCTTCTTTTCCACCTCCTGCTGCTCTCTGTTAGTCGAGCCATTCTCAGTTTGAAGCCTAGTTCTACTTTTAAATGTATTCTTTGTTCTTCTTCTTTGTTTTCAGATAATAATGATGAAAGTCTTCAGTGTCCTCACTCAATCATGTCCATCAACAATGTATCAAGCACAAGGCCTGTGCTGTCAAAAGTGTCCTGCAGGTAAGAGCCAGCTGAATGTTAGAGGCTGATTTCACTCCTGCTCTTTACTGTCTCTCTATATGTGAAAGTTCAAATTCATACCTTTATAACTCTAAATGTTTCACAGTTTAGATGAGTAACAGCGACATGTATTGAAAATAGTCTGCTTTTTTCTATTATAACAGGAAATCGAGTCAAGACAGATTGCACAAAGACTGCAAACACTTCCTGTGTGGCCTGCGAGGATGGAACCCACATGGATAAGCCCAGCGGACTCAAACAATGCACTCACTGCACAATCTGTGACCTAAGTAGGTTTTTATTCATATTTCTTATTTATGAAACTAGTGAAGCTGTTACTGCCGTATAAGAATTAAAAGTGTTAGATAGACAGACAGACAGAACATTTTATTTTATTTCCTCATGCTCTTTAGGTTCCTCCGGGAAATTCAGTAAAGATTGGTATAAGGGTCCTATTGCTTTGATTTGACATTCTTACCCTCTACGATATGATGTTGCCTACAGATAATATACCGTACTTTAGATTTACATCAAAGTAAAAGGAAGCATCAATTTCATTGATGTTTTCTAGAAATATTTTTTTCTGAATTAAAATGTTCAATTGTTCAATCTAACAATTATTACAAACTTTTAATATATCAGTAATTTTAAAAGAATTGATTAAATGTTGATTACTGTTATAGTGTCTAATTTTAAGCAGGAAAAACACCATAAGTCACTTTTGATGAATGACATCATAATATCACCACAGCAGTGACCTCTCTGCCTCGTTCTTTCCCAATCCCTAGCATCCTGTCTAACATGCGTCCTCTCTACGTGCTCACAGATTTAAATGTGAAGAAAAAGAGGGCATGCACAACAACATCAGATACAATTTGTGAACCACGGGATGGATTCTACTGTGTTGACTATGACGGTGTTCATTGTGTGGAAGCACAAGAACACAAACCCTGTAACCCAGGAGAATACATCAGCCAAGCAGGTTGTATTCTTGTGCTTACGTGTAAATAAACTGGATGGAATAATATTTCTGTTGCATACTTGCAGTGGTTTCTCAATATGGTGTTATTACTTTGTAGTAAAGCTGCTCTCCATCACTCCACCACATGAATGAACTCAGAAAGATCAAATTTAGAAACTGAAACAAGGAAATGTTTTTAGATGTATTTTAAACTGGTTGTCATTAGACACATATAATTACTCTGATGTCACAGTCACTCACTGATCCTTCATGATGTACATGCTGAAAATGGTGCATATTCGTGTTGATGCAGGAACAGCCTTCAGAGACACTGAGTGCTCTGTGTGCAGCTATGGGACATTTTCAGATGGAACTTTAAAGTTTTGCCGGCCACACAGACCGTAAGTGAAGCTTCACAGCAGATACAGACACGTCTGATTTCCTCCAGCACCAGTGATTGTGGCACATCTGTACATTTTCCTGTAAAGTGTCTCTCTGTCCTTCCAGATGTGAGTCACTAAACCTTAAGCTGATAAGACCAGGAAATGCTACAACTGATGCTCAGTGTGAAGAACAAGATGAGAATGTGGTTCTTTCTTGGATCATCACTGGCTGCCTGTTACTGATTTTATTAATTGTGATACTTATAGCTTTGTGTCTCTGTAGAAAGGAGATTGGATGTCTAAAACGAGGTGAGAGTAACAGAACAATGAAAATCTTATCATGATCTATATAGAAAATAATATTTTTACACTAATTTTTAAATTGTTTTTCTTTTTGCGAAGGCGAAAAAATAATTGTACACCTAATCAACTTGAGGAAGGTATGTCTGAATATCACAGGAGTGTGGACTGTAACGGATGGCAACATCTGATTTATGCAAGTAATTATGTCTTCGTTTTTTTGTTTTTTACTAAGAATGAAGAAAAAGAAACAGAAATAGAACTGAAAATACTGAATGAGAAACCAGGTAAGATGGCCATGAGTTATCCACTCAAACCTGCACTGCCTGATGTCTCTGCAAACGTACAAGAGGTTTGCTATTTAACTGTATATCTTTCTCTCCTCAGTGTGAAACTATATGAAGATTAACAGAAGAGACCCCACCTGCTTGATCCACCTAGTCGCAGTTTTTTCCTCCAGTAGTCAACCACCAGCTCTTTTTGTCTTGCTGACATTAAGGAGGTGATTTTTACCCGACCACTCCACAAAGTTCCCCGACAGCTCCCTAGACTCCGACTCCTGCTCACCCTTAACCCGCCCATTCACTATAGTGACATCAGAGAACTTCTGCAGGTGGCATGATTCACTGTTGCACTGAAAATCTGAGGTGTACAAAGTGAACATGAATGGAGACTGGACCGTCCCCTGTGGTGCCCAAGTATTACTAACCACCACATCACACATGGTGCCTAACATCAATAGAAACTGAGGCCTCTCTGATAATGGATGGCGCAATGTAGAGGAATAAAAGTACTGTATAAAGCAGCAGTAAATGGAAAAGGCTGCATTTATACATGTCAGCTAGGAAAGCTTCTAGTCCTCCTGAGTCTGTTCAGTGGTGTGAAAGCAGAAAGTAAAAACATACTCAAGTATCATACCAAAAACATACCAAAGAAAGGCAAATAAATGATATTTTATTAGGTCAAAGTATATTTCAGAGTGGATGATAGAAAATGGATAGGTTTTTTCCAGATAACAGCTAAAATCAGATGAAGGTGATATAGTGCATTAGTAACAGGAGCTTCATCCCATACATTTGAATTCATGTGCACTGTTTCAGTGTGATGCTGCTGTGACTGAGCTTTTTGAGTGACAGCAAAAGATCATACCACAATCTAAAGAAGCTGAAGAAAAGACTTTTTTAATATTTTATTTATGTAATTCTGAGCAATAAAAGTTCATTTTTATATTATACAGTTTATTTCCTCTTATTTTGGAGCACAAAGCTGATTCATGTCATTCACAATACAGCTAAAGTCACATCAGTTTAAGGAACTTCTTATTACATTAAAAAAGCAACTGACATCAGTGTGTGTAATGTTTCTGTACGTCATGGAGTTACATTTAGGCACACAAGCTTTCCATTATGGGCTGATCACTGTTCAGAAATGAATAGTAAGGTTTGAAAGGGCTGAAATGAGCATCAGCAATACACTGTGTGTGCGTGTGTGTGTGTATTCTGCCATTAGAGATGTTTACACTGAGCAAAACAAAGTGAAACTGAAAGACAAGAGTTCAGAATTACGCAACCCGACAGACTTCTGTTTTTCTTCATCTATACTAAGTGTTTTCATTTCTAAGAGTACCAATATATATGAGAAAAGCATCTGTTTGCTCTGTGAAGAGATTTTAAAGAGTTAAAGCTCATTTAAAGTTCATTAAGACTCTCAGAATTAGTCTGCTCCAGCTCATCATAGTGTATGACAGCCACTTTTACCTCACAGAGGTCATATAAAAATGAAAGTACAGTAGGAAAATATGGAGGTCTACGAGTCCCATAATGAATTAAATAAACATATCCTTAAACATTCAATCAGATGTGGCGTTAATCAATTACAATTGGACCCAAAATTTTTCAATTGCCCATAGATGTGAATGTGAGTGTGAATAATTGTTTGGGTCATGAAACAAGCAGCTTGCCCAAGGTGTACCTTGCCTCTGGCACTATTACCCACCGACCGCTCCCAACTCGACACTCCTCCATACGAAACCGGCCATATGATGTCATGACGGACTGCGCGTTTGTTCTCTTCTGTATGTTCTGCGCACTTTCGCTTTCTCCCTGAAGCTTAGCCGTTGTTTTTAATTTTCAAGAAACGGCAGATGTTTACTTTCCAGTTCGTCTTGAACTATTCAGCCTACGGTGCGCTGTGACGGAGACTCTCCGAACTTCGTCTTGTACCGCTGACGGTAAGTTCCTTAGATCACTTCTACAGAATGTTTGGTTACAGGCTGTTAAACGAAGCAGCTATTCGGCTGTTTGTAATGCGGCTGCGGACCATAGTGGAGAAAGCAGGTCCGTAGAAAGTGAACGGTGAATAAAACAGTAACCAAAGTCCTGTTCAAGCAATGCTTTGTAACAAGAAACAATACAGACTTTTATCTAAACCAAACTGATCTCTGCAAAAACTTTGTCGGATATAATTATTAGATTTAATAGTTTGGTATTGATGACCAAGGGGAAGTTAATTGCACTGTGTCTTCGTGGATCTAGAGAAAGTATATGATGGGTGCCAAGAGAAGAGAAGTATGTGTACTGAGAGTAGGGAGAAGGTGGAAGCGAGCCTGGAGAGGTGGGGGTATTCTCTGGAGACAGAAAATGTGCGAGAATGACAGGTGAGGAAGGTGGGAAAGTGAGCATAGAGATAGTGAAGGTAGATGAGTTTAATTACCTGGAGTCAAATATCCAAAGCAATGTACAGTGCACAAGAAAAGTGATGAAGTCGGTGCAGGCAGGTTGGAGATGAGTGTTAGGGGGATTTGTGACAGAAAGATAATAGCAAAAGATTCAGATTCACCTAACTTCATTCGTCCCATGGGTGCTGTTGAGAGTGAGAGTGATAAGAAGGTATACAAAATGGTAGTGAGACCTGCTATAATGTATGGTTTGGAGATGGTGGTACTGACAAAATGACAGGAGACTGAGCTGGAGAGTTGAAGATGTTAATATTGTTATTAGAAGGGAGGAAAGAGTACATCAGAGGGTCCGCTTTGAAAGACAAAGTTAGAGAGGCAGAGCTGAGGATATTTGCAAAGGAGAGAAACTAGATGTACTGAACAAAGGATGTCGAATATAAAGCTGCCAGGGAGGAGGAGAAGAGGCAGACCTCAGAGAAGATTCATGGATGTAGCAGGAGGACATGCGGAGGGTTGGTGTGTCAGAGGAGGAGGCAAGGGACTGGAAAGGGAGCAGCTGAAAGAGGGCGGCGACTTTAATATGCTAGCTGTAATAAAGTCAAGATCATTCCTTTGAACAATTTTCCATAAAACTGTAGTTCTTCAGTGGTCTCTGTATATTATATGAGTCAAACAACAGGGCCCTGTTCTGAAATGATGAAATCTGAGATGACTAACTCTGAGTTTTGACTTCCTTAAGAGTTGATTAAAATTAGTCCAATTAAGTGAGCTGATTCAAGCACATCTGTATGTAATGAGTGAAAGCTTTCCGTCATCAGGCAAATAAAGAGCTGAGCCCTCACTTTAATCTCATGGACCAAGAAAGTTGAATGCTTATGGTAAATGCTTTCATGCAGAGGAACTTGCTGACAACCTGACAGCTGCCTGTCAGTGTTGGAAAGATGTATCCTATAGATTTTGTAGTGAATCCACAATATACGGTCGTCACTGTCTCTGTTCTTACAGGCTGTACACCTTAAACAAGCTGCAGGTGCAACAGCAAGTGAAGACTTTGTCAAAGAACATCTGCAGGTAGGTTCCTGCCGTAAACCCGCTTCCTGTAATACGGACCAGGGAACCAGAAACAACAATTTTATTTTATGTCCTCTTGTTCTTTATGCTACAACTTTACTTTATACTCACTCACCCCAATATGTTGTTCCTTTAAATATTTTTTTTCTTTAACCTCCTAGGACCTGGCATCCACATATGTGAACATCACATTTTGGGTTGTTTAAACCACAATACTAAATGTTGCTCTACAAGGGCCTGATATCCACTGATATCCACTGACATTTGTTTTTAAAATTAAAAACGAATGTCCTCATATGTGCATATGAGGCCCTTGTAGGGCAAAACCAGGTAAAAAGATAATTCTTTGTTTTTACATCCATCGGGTCCCATTCAGCCCAAATAGCAAAGAGAAATTAAAAATGCATGCCATGAAAGAGATCAGGTCTTAGGAGGTTAATTATGATAAACAAACAACAAGATACTACTTTTTAACCTGTAAGGTTTTAATATCCGCATGAACCAGGTTTCCTGCTGCTCACTTACATATTTTTTTTTTTAGATGTTCTCCTGCTGTTTTAGATCATACAGCTCATCTCCTTGCAAATCTCAGTGAGACGGTCTTCAGTTCAGGAAAGTCTTCATTCTGCTGTATAAAATGACTTCAGGAGGAAATTCTTTGACAGCTGCAGTGTTGCTGGTAAAATATTTTTCATACAAACTTACAAAAAGCTTCTTTTTTTAAATGTAACTAATTCATACTTAATATTTTTCCTTGTCTGCAACTATTTAACCCACTCAGTATTTTCTGAATCACTTCTGCATAAGTGTGTAATTCATTTTGTAAATTACATGATATAATTTCCCATACTGTCTACTTTTCCTTTAAATTGATATCATAATCCTCACTATCTTCCTTCTTCACTCATCAGCTCTCATTTTCAGGTTGTTGTGCATTTCATTTCATATCTTTCTTCTTTTCCACCTCCTGCTCCTCTCTGTTAGTTCTCAGTTTGAAGCGTGCTTCTACTTTTAAATGTATTCCTTTTTCTTTGTTTTCAGTTAATCATGATGAAAGTCTTCAGTGTCCTCACTCTCTCGTGTTCTTCAACAATGTATCAAGCACAAGACCTATGCTGTCAAAAGTGTCCTGCAGGTAAGATCCAGCTGAATGTTAGAGGCTGATTTTACTTTGGTTATTAAACATGGAGTCCTGCTCTTTACTGTCTCTCTGTATGTAAAAGTTCAACTTCATACCTTTATAACTCTAAAGATTTCACAGTTTATATGAGTAAAAACAATATGCATTGAAAATAGTCTGCCGTTCTTTTATTATAACAGGAAATCGAGTCAAGACAGATTGCACAGAGACTGCACACACTTCCTGTGTGGCCTGCGAGGATGGAACCCACATGGATAAGCCCAGTGGACTCAAACAATGCACTCACTGCACAATCTGTGACCTAAGTAGGTTTTTATTTATGAAACTAGGGAAGTTGTTACTGCATGTTCTGCTGTTAATGTGATGTAAGAATTAATACAGTTAAAGATGGTTTGACATTGATTTAAAACATGTATGACCGCATGTAAACGAATGTGACAAACTGTCGACATGTTTAACACATTAACTGATTAAGTAATTATGCCTCAAGATATTCCACATGAACTCATGATCAGCTCACGCTCTGCGATATGATGTTGCCTCCACTTAACCTTTAGATTTCCACCTAAATAAAATGAAGCATCATTTCATTAACGTTTTCTATAAATGTATTATTTTAATCAACATGTCAAATCATTCAATCTGTCAATTATTACAAAATTTTAGTAAATCAATCAAAATAATCTTAAGTAACTTTTGATGAATGACATCATAATGTCACTACAGCAGTGACCCCTCTGGCTCATTCTTCACCAATCCCTAGCATCCTCTTCTCTCACACCATCTCTCCATCTCTTTCTTCACCACATCCATGAATCTTGTCTATGCTCTTCTTTTCCTCCTCCTACCTGAAACCTCCATCTTCAACATCCTATGTCCAGTGTATATTCCCTATCCCTCCCTGCACGTGTAGAAACCATCGCGGCCTTGTCTCTCTAACATGTGTCCTCTCTACATGCTCACAGGTTTTGGTCTGAAGGAGAACAGGACATGCACATCAACATTAGATACAGTTTGTAAACCAGAGGATGGATTCTACTGTGTTGACGTCGCAGCTGGTAGCTGCATGGCAGCACACAAACACAGGCAATGTCAACCAGGAGAATACATCAGCCAAACAGGTTGGTTTCTTATGCTTGTAGTGTAAATAACCTGGATGAAATAATCTGTTTGTTACTTGCAGTGGTTTCTGAATGAGGTGTTATTAACTTTATAGTAAAGTTTAGAAGGATCATATTTGTATTTTTAAAAATTTTTAAATCAGAATCAAAGGTGGAGTCACCTGACACGTGTAATTACTCCGATGTCACAGTCACTCACTGATCCTACGTGATGTACATGCTGAAAATGGTGTAAACATCATGTTTGTGCAGGAACAGCCTTCAGAGACACTGAGTGCTCTGACTGCAGCAATGGGACATTTTCAGATGGGACTTTAAAGTTTTGTCGGCCACACAGACCGTAAGTGAAGCTTTACAGCACATACAGACGCGTCTGATTTGTTCCAGCAGCAGTGATTGTGACACATCTGTACATTTTCCTGTAAAGTGTCTCTCTGTCCTTCCAGATGTGAATCACTAAACCTTAAGCTGATAAGACCAGGAAATGCTACAACTGATGCTCAGTGTGAAGAACAAGATCAGGATAATGTGGTCCCAATCATCATTGGCTGCTTGTTGACGATTTTAGTTATTGGCATAGTTATAGTTATAGTTATTTATGTCAAAAGAAAGACTCTGTGTCCAAAAAGAGGTGAGAATAACAGAGAACAATGAGAATGGTATACTCACTGATAATATATATAATATATATATTATATATTATATAATATATATATA